CCCCTCGTTTGAATCCAACTTGCAGCAGTCACTACCTTCTCCGCGTGGGTTAATGATCAATTAATTTAAAATCAAATCATAATAAATTACATAAAAAAAATTTAATGTCTATTACTTAATTTATTAAATTTAAATTTAAGAGTTAATATAAATAATATTTTCATCCAAATGTATGATTTTATTTTATTTAAATAAAAAAATTAAATTATCAAATAAATAAAAAAATTCAGGTCAAATGTTAATCCCTTGCCATGTAAGCATGACATGGCAATAGTTTGCCATCCAAGCAGCCAAACGGGGTGTGTCCTCAACGGCAGTTAAGTCAGGCGGGCAGTCCCAAACGGCAGTTAAGTTGGCGTAAGGAAAAGGGCTTAATTGCTTTGATCCCAGAGTTTAAGGTCTTATATGCTTCAATTAAAGTTTAGGGGCTTAATAGTGATTCTGGGGTTAGTACAGGGGCTTAACTTATGGTTTTGCCTTATTTATAAGAGAAAAGGTAAAGGTTGCGAGTGCTAATTCTTTATTTTTTATTTTTTTAAAAATGATAAAACTTGGCCTCCAAGACTTGGCGCGGAAAATCGAATCTTCTTTTTGAAATTGGGCACTGTTGCACGTAATGAAGCGCAATGTTGCTATGAGAAATTTTCTGTGCAAGCTACATTAATTTTCATCAGACTTTATAAAATGAAAATTTTCTTAATATTTATTTTTTTAATTATAAAATTTAAATTTAAATTTAAAAAAAAATTAAATTCTTTTCATTTAAATTAATAAATTATTAGTGTGAGCAACTTTATTTTTAATTATTAATAAAAGAGTAAATGATGAATAAAAATTGAATAATAAAATTATAAAATAAAATTATAATTATGATATATTATTAAATGAATAAATAAATATAATATTATAAATAAGTTTTTAAATAAAAATAAATATAATATATCATTTGCATTGGCAAACATCTTAAACCAACTAAGCAAAGTAGAAATAAGTGTGGATGAGATTGTGTGTAGCAATCCTGTTAATCTTGTAAAAATGAGGGGTGTATGGAAAGAATAAACTCCAGATGTTCTAGAAACAGTTCGGCCAAAAACAAAACTAAGGATGGTCTAGAAACAGAGGTCAAACTAGAGAAAGCAAGTTACCGAGATGACACGTCAGCTAAAAAACACGTGTTGAAAATCTAGTGGCGGAAACAGGAGAAAGATGTCCAACTGGAGAAAGCAAGTTTACGAGATGACACGTCAGTTTAAACAATACGTGTTGGAAAGCTAGTTGGTGTCAACTGTAACCAACTCACAAGCTATAAAATACTCTGGGCTTCTAGAAACCACCTATTTTTGCTGTTACACTCACGGGTGTAAATTTTTACAACCCTAATTACATTATTTGTCTCATAATTACAACCCTAATTACACTATTCGTCTCATAATTAATAATGGTTGTTTTTTAACTTAAAATTTGTTTCTAATTAATTATCATGTTTTTAAATATTACGGATGATAATAAATATTTTTTATTTTAATTTTATCATTGTTTATTTACTTTAAATATGTGTCTTATTTATCTTTATTTCTTTTTTTTTGGTAAAGTAATATCCTC